AGAGCACTGAATAAGAATCTGGGCCAACAGTGTGCCTCTGCACTCTCTTCCACATCTCCCTCAATACACAGCAATACTCAATTAAACCAAATGAACCTTGATAACTGTCCAACTTCTAGGTCTTCTAGTTTCCCTTTACTGCTTAAACCATTTGGCTACATCTTTTGTTGGTTGGAACCAAAAAATATCTCAGTTGCCCTGGGTGAGTTACTTCTCTAAACCTCAATTTTCTCATTGGTAAATGACACAAATTTAGAGTTTAAGGGACTGGTTATTCATCTTGACTATGACCTCTCTAGGTGTACTATCTTCAGCAGGACATTTCACTTTCAGCAAGACATGCACCTCTCTATGACTTACTTTACTCGTCTATAAAATGGAGATCCATTTGAAGAATACATGAGGTAATAAGTATATGCCACACAGGTATTCAAATGAAATTATCGTTATTATTGCTATTGCTCACCAAAAAGATGACTTTAAAACCATGTGAAGTTTTAAAGTTCCAATTGCTATCTAATGTTTAAAGCAATTTTTAAAAACTTCTCACCAAATTTAAACACATTTTGTTAACAATAACAGCTAACACTTTCTGAACCCTTAATATTTGCCACACACAGTTAAGCTAGTACTGAACACTGTGATCATTATAAGAATAAGACCTCCCTGTGAGGTAGGTCATATAATTGTTACCCCATTTTTACAGATGAGGAAACAAAAGCACGCAGTGGTGAAATGGCTTACTTAGAGCTGGGATACAAACTCAAGCAGACTGACCACAGAACCTGTGCCTCTCTTAACCACTTTTACTGTATCAACTTGTTTTTGTGCTGAATAGAATGAAGTATGTATACATTTAAAAATTAGTTTTCAAACTCCAAATTATTTGTATCGTTTCTTCTTTTGGGGGAGGGGGTTATGAATATTCATGAGATACAAAGCTGATTGTCACCTCTCATCCCCATGATGTGGGAGCCAGATTCATACTGGCTGTATACCCATTACCACAAATTGCATTTGCATCCCATGTCCCCCACCCAATTATCCCCAACCTCCCTCTCCCTCCCCCTTCCCCCTACTCTACTTTGTAGCCCAAGGAATGTTCTCTCCCTCTGCAAGTCCAATGAACTACTGTGGTCTTTCTTTCCTTCCTTTGTTCCCACATATGAGTGAGTGCATGTGGTATTTATCCCTCTGTGCTTTCCTTATTTCACTCAACATCAATTTCTCCAGGCTTATAGCATGTTTTTGCAAATGGGAGTATTTCATTCTTTTTTATGGCAGAATAGTAAGTATTCCACGGTGTATATACATCACAGTTTCCTTATCCAATCATCTATCAATGGACATTTAGGTTGGTTCTATATCTTGGCTATTGTAAACAGAGCTGCGATGAACATGGGAGTGCAGGCATCCCTTCGACATGATGATTTCCATTCCTCTGGGTATATACCCAGAAATGGGATTGCTGGATGATATGGAAGATCTATCTGTAGTTGTTTGAGAAACCTCCATACTGTTTTCCATAGTGGTTACACTAATTTACAGTCCCACCAACAGTGTAGGAGTGTTCCTTTCTCCCCACACCTTTGCCAGCATTTGTTATTCACTGTCTTTTTGATTATAGCTAGTCTAACTGGGGTGAGGTGGTATCTCAATGTAGTTTTAATTTGCATTTCCTTGATGCCTAGTGATGTTGAGCATTTTTTCATGTACCTGTTGGCCATTTGTATGTCTTCCCTTGAAAAATGTCTACTCATTTGAAAAATAGCTCCTTTGCCCATTTTTTAACTGGGTTATTTGAGTTCCCTGCATATTATGGAAATCAATACCTTGTCAGATGAATAGTTAGCAAAAATTTTCTTCCACTCTGTAGGTTGTCATTTCACTCTGATTGTTTCCTTTGCTCTGCAGAAGCTTTTTAGTTTGATATAGTCCCATTTAAGAAAAAATAAAAAATAAATAAATGTATCTCTCCACTCACTCCTTCGAAACGAAAGATAAGCCAAAGTATTTGGAAATGAACCTATTTCTACAAATGGGTCTATATATACAACTGCATGAAGTATTAAGAAAAATATGTTAAGAGTATAAAGATAGTATACTAATAATGATAGGAAAAGGTTACTCCTTCCCCATATCCTGTAAGATAAAAAACATATGTACCCACCTAGTTAGAAGCAGAGACAATGACTATTTAAAGAACAGGAAAGCATATACAAGGGTGATGAACATGAGATACTCTGGTCCCTCATATTTCATTCCTTACATATTTACCAACAAGATCTGATTAAAAGATAAATGAGATCATTTTACTTCCCATTCCTCCTCTGTTAAAATCCTACAATCAGAGTAGGCTCCTTACCATGACCCTAAAATCTCTGGCTTCTGCCTCTTTGACTCACCTACTACTCTCCCCTTCGACTTATTCTGCTTAAGCCACACTTGCCTTCTTTTCATTCTCTGAACATGAAAAGGTTGTTTCTGCTTTAGGACATTTGTTCTGACTGTTCTTTCTGCCTGGAAGGCTTGGATCCCAGATCTTCCCATGGCTGTTTCCTTTTCTTATTCAGACCTCAGCTCTCCTCTGACTCTATCTGATCATTCCATAGAAAGAAACCCTACCTCCATCCATCTCTCTCTTTCCCATTCCCTATTTTACTACCTTCATAGCACTTGTCACTATCCAAAATTAAAGTATTTACTTACTATGTACTTATTATCAGTCTCCCTCCCAACTGGAATATAAAAATCTTGAAGCCAGGGGCCTTAATTGTCTTTTTCACCATCCTATCTTATCTAGAGCAATGCCTGGCATATAGTGGGCCCTAAACAAATATCTGTTGAACAATTAAGTAAAAAGCACTGAAGACTAAAGAACTACCTTAACTGTAACAGAGACAGAGACTAAATATTAGAAAGTCATAAAGGAAGTAGAATAGGATGACTATTCTGGCCCTACTTACTCAGTTTGGCTGGTAATATGAATATAAGGAATATAAGGCACTTGTAAGTTTAAATGCATGAAAATGGATAAATCAGTAAGTGCAGCCCTAACGGCTTGATTAAACTAATACATTTTGTAACTAATGCCAAGTTAAGAACCATTCTCTAGAGAACATTTCTTTGTGGTCAGCTAATTTTTATCCAATTTTCCTTTTATTTATTTATAACAGAACATAATTAGGAATGGAAGGACAGCTCATGAATAATCTACTACGGTTTTTATTTTAAATGTCAAAGTAATTTCAAACCAGGTTAAACCAGAAAACCCTTATCACCTGTTTTACTTGGCAGAAATATTTTCATGGCATCCTCTTTCAGGAAATAGATTTCTTTCATTCAGAAATTTCTAAATGCATTCTCAATCTTTAAATTCCTAGGCCTTTGATAGTCTTCAGTAAATAAAACTATTTGAGAGGTTACACATACTTCAAACACTGTAAAATTAAAACTCAATAGTTCATACATGTCATCAATCAACTATACCCCTTATTACTGCTTTACTATACCACCTCTACAATATTGGGCATGTTATTGACTTTGTTATTAAATACATTTATTCTTTAGTAAAGGTTGCCTATTTCAGTTGAAGTTCAAAGTGGGATAGGCAAGTGGAATAGAAAAGTGATATTCCAAAACCACAGGCAATCCAGCAACTCACTTCTACATGGAAAGTGAACTTCTCTTGTGATTTCTTCCAATGTGTGTGGTAAAATGAAGCACATCACATGACAGTTGTCAGATTCGGGGTTTTCATATTTTTAGTAATCAATAATACTTTTAACTGAAAAAAGGGAGGATTTTTAAGCAACAAAATCTTATTCAAGCCTAATCATATAAGATTTATCATATTTTAAAACATTAGAAAGGAACCTGCATTTTATGCTTTAAGTTATTAAGCTATTTTACTGATTTTTATCTAATGACCCAAGAGTCAAAGTAGACTTTGACTCATTTAGTTATTTGAAAATACCTAAAATACAATAAACAATGTAAAGAGCCATAATTTATGCTTCATGGAACTACAGAATAAAGAAATGCTATTATTTTGAAGAAAATTATAAACAGTGAAAAAAGTTCACTCTACAAAGAAGAATATAAAAATTCCACTTTCCCTCCTCCTTTTATTTTCTTTTGGATTGTCATAATGATAATCAAAGCTCCCAACTATCTAGCTCAATGCCAGGCACACAGTCACTATATCCTTTGTGAATGACAATTTATTGCTTCCAGCCACTGACAACCCATCAATACCAGTCAACTTACTGACATCAGGGATATACTGATAATGCTAGAAGAAATCTAACCAAGTGACCCAGGCTTACATATTTTCAACACATAAAGATTCTCCAACTACATATTAAAATTTCCTCCCCGAAAAAACTTAAAAGGACAAAGTTCATTTAATAAAGACAGTTTCACACCTAACAACTTGATCTGAATGGGCGATACATATTGTGAGATCACACTAAAGTCAATGCAATCCACAACTTATGCATTACAATAAATATGCTAAGAAGTTGTAATAATGTCCAATGGAGAGGATATCTAAATATCTAAATCAGCTTTTAAAAATAAATGAGACATACCAATCATGACTTCAAACAAAAATATGACTGATGTACCTTTGCTGAGCTATCAAGCTCTTATTATCCTAAAATTCCAATGTCTCCATCTGTTAATCTGACACGAACAAGCTGATAAATGAAGTCAGAACAACAGTGTATTTTAGCAAAACTAGAAACTTCCTGAAAACCTAGAAAAATATGTCCACAGTAGGTGAGTCGTTTAGAAAATAAATATATCAGCCTGTCAAACAGCAGTGTTCTAATTCTGTAAACTAAAATTAGTAGGAGGTCTACTTTCCAAGAGTCTGTGACATTAGGAAGGCCAAAGAGGAAAAACCTAAAGATGCACATGAACACATGTGACACGACCTAAAGTGTCATATTGTTAGGTTTCCTGTTAAACATACTAAATTTAGGTAAAGTCCTTACCAGTTAACTTCTTCACAGGTTGGAGCCGAACACTGATAGACTGATGTGTGAGTAAGGGGGAGGATGGAAGAGAGCGAGACATGCCCTCCATAATCCGAATGTGCTGCATACCTTCACTCACTGGAAGTGGTGGAACGGCGTAGTCAGGCTCAAAAGCACAGTCGCTTTCTGTGGAGATGCCACCTGTGAAATGGAAAAGGATGGCACAAAAGAGCTAGTGAGAAAAGATTCCTCCTTTCCTATTAAAATACACCTATTAGGATGATTCGGAACAGCATATACTAACATTGACTTTCACTGTGAAAATCCAAATAAGGTATTTTCAACACATACATTCATTTCTACACTTATGAGTACTCCTCTCCAGGCCTAGCACTAGGAAAGTGAAAATGAGTAAAATAGGGTTCCTCCTTGTAAGGGGCTTACTGACTGATGAGAAATGCAATCATATAAGGCAATAATTACAGTACAATGCAATGTTTAGAATTAGAGCAATGGTCTTCAATTTTTTTTCCTGGTAGGACAAACATAAAAGATATTCACCTACTTGACAATCCATCACATGTAATTGTTAGTTAGCAGGATCATCATAACTCTACTTCCTACTCCCTTCCTCCAAGAAAGTATATAAAAAGCCGGTAGGACTGAAATTATATGGTGATCTTTGAATGTTTTTTTAAAAAAGAGTAATTATATGCTGTTTACTACCAACTGTATGCTGTTGACTTCTACTTCTGGTAATGACAGATCATGTACTTCAGACCAACTTTTCCCTAAAAAAAAAAGAAAAACTAGAACTACATATATTTTAAAAATCTTTCTGAAAACGGTGGAGAGTTAACAACACAATGAAGAATTACAAGGAAAAGACTAAGGCTTGGCATTTGGGACTACCTTTTACTTAGTGGCATTTGAGAGGCTAAGATGCTGTTGACAGTTTTACAGAAGTAAGAGGACAAATATTGGAGTCTAGGGCCCACCAAGGGTTGAAGGGGAGAGCTGGTAAAACTCAAATGCTTGCATTGAAATCCCAAAGGGCTACTCTCTAGTAATAACTATGAAGGCACTTGAGAAAGTTCATTGAAAGATTTGTATTATCTTTTAATTATATTTTTTCCACAAACTTTTTGAAGTACCCTCATATGAACTGAAACTAGACTGGCCCTTACAGAAACTAAAGCTCTGCTCCAAATATTTCCACAAAATTAAATTAAGGCAATCCTGGACTGCTAGTGTCTACCAAAAACAAACATAAATCTTCTTGGAGGAAGATAACATCATCATAGGTCTCAAATTATTTACGCAATTTATCATATACAATATCTAGCCCTTAATTAACAATAACAGAGGTAAGATAACATAAACAAAGTAAATCAGAAAAGCCGTATAAACCGAAAATAGTCTCACAGAGAATACAGAGAATGAAAGATGCACAGAATTTAAAGTAGTATGCTGAATATGCTGAAGAAAATAAAAGTTTAGAATTTCGGAGAATTGGAATTATTAAATTAAAAACTTAATAGATGGATTTAAAGGCAGATTAGACATAGATGAAGAGAGAATTAGTAAACTGCAAGATATATCAGAAAAACATTAGAATGATGAATGGAGAATCAAAAAATGGAATTAGATTCTTAGATGTGACACCATAAGCAGGAGCAACAAAAGCAAAAAATAGACAAATTGGATTTCACCAAAAATAAAAACTTTTGTGCATCAAAGGATACTATCAATACAGTGAAAAGACAACTCTCAAAATGGGTGAAAATATCTGCAAATCATATATATAAGGGCCCAGCACCCAGAATACATAAAGAACTCCTCCACCTCAAAAACAAGAAGACATTAAAACAACCCAATTAAAAAACAGGCAGGACTTGAATCGACATTTCTCCAAAGAAGATATACAAATGGCCAATAAGCACACAAAAAGATGCTCAGCAATCATTACAGAAAAGCAAATCAAAGCCAAAAATGAGATACTACTTTATAACCACCAAGATGGGTTTAATAATAATAATAATAATAATAATAACAACTTTTTTAAAAGGACAACAAAAAATGCTGGTGAGTGATGGAGTTTGGATGCGTTGTCCCCTCCAAAACTCATGTGGAAATTTGATCCCCAGTGTGGTAGTGTTGGAAACTGAGTCACGCGGGCAGATCCCTCATGAATGGATTAATGCTCTCCCTGGGGGAGAGGGGATTAATGAGTGAGTTCTCACTTTATTAGTTCCCGCAAGAGTTGGTTGTTTATTGGACCCTGGCACCTCCTCTCTCTCTTGCTTCCTCTCACCATGTGATCTGCTTGTACCCGCCCTCTGCCTGCCACTTTCCGCCATGAGTAGAAGCAGCCTGAGGCTCAAGCCAGATGCAGCTGCCCCAGAATCGTAAGCCAAATAAACACCTGTTCTTTATAAATTACCCAGTCTCAGGTACTTCTCTTATAGCAACACAAAATGGACTAATACGGTGAGGATACTGAGAAATTAGAACACTCATACACTGCTGGTGGGAATATAAGATGTGCAGCAACTGTGTAAAACAATTTGGAGGTTCCTCAAAAAGGTAAATAAAGGATTACCAGATGACCAAGCCATTCCACTTCTGTGTATAAACCCAAAAGCAATGAAAACAGGCTTATGGTACATGAATTTTATCTCAACAAAAATAATTATGCATGGCTAATATCCAAAAGATTGAGAATGATAAGTGCTGGAGAGGTTGCAGAGAAAAAGGAACTCTCATACACTGTTGGTGGGACTGTGAAATGGTGCAGCCTTTATGGAAAATGGTATGGAGCTTCCTCAAACAATTACAGATAGCTCTACCATGTGACCCAGCTATTTCACTGTTGGGAATATATCCAGAAGAATGGAAAGCATCATGTCGAAGGTATAACTGTTCTCCAATGTTCATTGCAGCACTATTTATAAAAGCCAAGAGTTGGAACCAGCCCAAATATCCATCATCAGATGAGTGAATAAGGAAACTGTGGTATATCTGCACAACGGTATTCTACTCTGCTATAGAAAAGAATGAAACACTACCATTTTTGCAACAACATGGATGGACTTAAGAGAAAATTATATTAAGTAAAACAAGTCAGGCACAGAAAGGGAAATACCACATGTTCTCACTTATTTGTGGGAGCTATAAATAAATAAATAAACACACACATACACACACACACACACAAATAAAGGCTTGGGGGGAAGAAGACACAACCACAACAATTCCTTGAACATGTTAAGATATGATGTGGGGTGGGTGGGGAGAGTGGGAGGGGGGAAGAAGAACGGGTAAAGGGTCATAAAAATCAACTACATCGTATATTGAGAAGTTAAAATTAAAAAAAAATAAATTATGTAGATATTTACCACTGCCCACGTACTTATTCAATCCAAAAGCCTAGAAATCATCATTAATCTCTTCCCTTCCCACCCCTCTGCAATGAATGCATTAGCAGTTCTGCAGATAATCAACCCAAAATATATTACAAATCTGCCATGTTCTCTCCATCTCTCCTACCACTTCTCTTAGTCCAAGCTACTATTACGTTTTCCCCAAACTTCTGTCGGGAGAAATCTAGAATTTATTTCTTGTTCTTAGATTTCAGAAATTTACCAGGATGTCTTAACTTTTTCTTTCTCGGCCCTTTTGTTAACTATGTTGACTAATTCTTCTCTTCCAACTGTTCTTTTCTCCCTCTTTAGAACTCTGATGAGATGGATATTATATCTCCTAGACCTATTTTTCAAGTCTCTTTCTCTCATAATAGATTTCTAAACTTTGGGCTTCCATGAATAGACTTGAGATTGGCTTATACGGAATTAAACTATTTTGCAGGTTTACAAACAAAGAGATAAACAATTAGTGTAATTCCCTAACTGAAAAATCCTCTTATTGAGAAAAATAAGGGTCAGATTTTTTTGAAGCAGTAATCTAGAAGAATCCATTTGATTTAGTGAAGCACTTCTTTTCACTTGAAATGTTCCAATGTTAAAAATTAGCTGATAATTTTAGAATCTAATAATACTCCTTAAGGAATAATACTGCAATTAGTCCAGTTTAGCTGTCCTAGTTTAGTTTTCTGCTTAAAAACATTTTCTTCCATCTTCTCTGTCCTAAAAATTGTGTTTGAACTCACTGTAACTACAGAGAAAAAGCTAAAAATATGTTTCAAGTAAAGAAAAGTACCAGTGAGCATTCACAGAATTTGATTCTATAAAAGTTAATTTTTCTTGGGTAACTAACAACCTCAAAATCTCAGTGGTTTACAACAACATTTACTTTATGCTCATGAGTCTGCAGATCGACTGTGGGTCAGCTAATCTAGGTTGGGCTCAAGAGGGCTAGAATAGATATCAGATTTATGGTTAGGTTCAGAACTATTCCAGTGCATCTTCAATATTGGGCCCAGTCACTGAATGGGCAAATTAATACATGGGGCATGCTCTTCTTGTGGTAGAGAAGTGCAAGAGGCCAAGTCAAAACAGAGGAACATTTTTTAGACCTCTGCTGGCTAACATTCCACTGCCCAATCAAGTCACACAGCCAAGAATGGCATCAACGGGGCAGGGAAATATACTTGGCCCACACTAATGAGAGGTACTGCAAAATTGCATAGCAAAATAAATGGATGTATAACTTTATAAAACGAAGGAAGTAAAAAATTGGGAATTCAATTTACCAAGCATGTAAGACAACACTTACTTACACTCCACGTTCTACCTTTCTTTTTCTTACCACTTTTCCTGCTACAATCAACCAAATTAAACACTACTGAGATAATGTGATGGGAACATGACAGAATAAAATGAACTGGTAACATAAAAAAAATTCAGTTATGTTAGACACATGGTGATTAGATATTCAAAAGTTGAGCTAAGAAAGCACAGGGATGTCAAGTATATAGACACTAAAGATATGTTAGAAGTAATTATGATTTAATTAATATTTAAGTCATCAATAAGAAAAGTCTTATATTTAACACAGATGATTAGTAGATATTAAAGTTCAAGAGGCACACCACCAGCACCTTGGGGCCTTCCTGGGAACCAGAGGCTTGGATCCGGGGACCGAACCCCACTCCCACTTCCAGGCAAACTGTGCCAGTGCCTCAGGGCCAGCACAGGGACCCAAGGCACGGAGAAGGGGACTTGACCCTCCTCCCACACCACGCCAGCACCAAAAGGCCTGCCCAGGGACCCAAGCCATGAAGAAGGGGACCGCACCTCTCTCCCACAACCAGGCACACCATGCCAGCACCTCAGAGCCCGCTTGGGGACCTGAGGTATGGAGTAGGGGACCAGACCTCCCACAACCAAGCACACCTAGCCAGCATCTTGGGTCCCGCCCAATGACCCGAGGTATGGAGCCGGGGACCAGAACCTCCTCCCACAACCAGGCACACAGTGCCAGCGTCTTGGGGCCCACCCAGGGGCCCAGGGCATGGATAAGGGGACCGGACTGCCCTCCCACAACCAGGCACACCATGCCAGTGCCTCAGGGCCTGCCCAGGGACCTGGGGCATGGAGAAAGGGACTGGACCCCCCTCCCCCAGCCAGGCATGCCAAGCCAGCTCCTTGGGTCTCACCTGGTGACTCAAGGCGTGGAGAAGGGGACTAGATGCACCTCCCACAACCTGGCACATGGCACCAGCAACTTGGGGCCTGCTCAGGGACCAGAGACACGGAGAAGGGGACTAGGCACACCCCACAACCAGGCATACTGCCAGTGCCAAGGAGCATACCAAAAACAGCACCCCCATGTGGGTGGCCCACCACAGCCTCCACAATAACTATGGCTGCTGCAAAAGCAACTAGACACCACAAGCACCACGCAAATGTCCACCAACCACTGGAGTACATTCACATAAGGAGAGTCACCAGTAGAGTCAAAGAAAAGAAGAGGAGGTCTCTTTCCACAAAGCCCATTTCAGAGTGACAGAAGCAGCATCTGCTCTATGATAATATTGGAGGACCTGATCACACCTCTCAGTATTGAACAGACCATCTAGGCAACAAATTAACAGAGTAACCATGATTCTTTCAGAAAGAGAGAAGAAATCTAGGCTAATTAGAGAGGGGGGCGGAGATTGGAAAAGGGGCATAAAGAATAATTACATATGCTAGTAATATTGATTTGATCAACATATCTCAGTGTTCAACCCCCAAAATATGCATAATCGATTTTGATTCAATAAATAAAATAAAATTTTTTAAAAAGTTCAAGTTAATAAATTCTTTAGCTGAAGCCAATATCTATTGTAGAACTGCCTTCTAACTTTTCTTTTTTGTTTGTTTTTTTTTCCTTTTTGTCTTTTTTACTGACTGGTAATGGGATTGCAACCCTCGGTGTCACGCCCATACCAGGGACCGGCAATGGGATCGCAACCCTTGGTGTCGCGCCCGGTTGCGCCCTCACCGCTCTCAGCCAGTGAGCGGGAACTGGTCTCCACATGGGATCCGAACCCTCGGCGGGAGCACCGCCACACTCCCAAGCGGCGCACTCTCCAGTGCACCACCGGGCCAGCCCCTAACTTTTCAAGTTACATAAATAACCACAAATAAAACTTATAAATCAAAAACCTTCAGCATAATATATTCATCTGGTAATAATTCATTGACCTGTACACATGGTTTCTGAATTTTTCAGTTTACCTTTTATGCATCAGTAAGTTTAATCTTTAAAAGTTCATAGGAGAAAAAACATATAGCATGGTGATAAATAGGCCCCTACATTTGAAGGGCTTTTACACATTTCAAAAACAAAGGCATTTTGCTTAAATTATCCCAAACATCCTTAACTCAGGGTTTATATCACTCTGTGATGCTGTAACATTCTCACAAGTCCATAAATCAGGCAGGAAACAGGCCCAGAGAAGTTTAACAGCTAGTAGAGGATCATAGAGTCAGACATCATGATTTCCTATATAGAAAATTCTAAGTTATCTAACAAGAAAAATTATTAGAAAAAGTGAGTTAGGCAAATTCACAGGTTACAAAGTTAATGTACAAAAATCAAATGTCTTTTTATATACTAGCAATGAACATTTGGAAAATGAAAGTTTTAAAAACCAGCACCATTAAAATAGCACCACTAAAAACATGAAATACCTAGGAATAAATTGGATAAAATATGTACAACATTTGTATGCTGAAAACTAGAAAACACTGCTGAGAGATATCAAAGACTTAAGTGGGGAGATATACTATGTTCATGGATCTGAAGACTCCATATCATGATGATGTTGACTCTCCTCAAAGTGATCTATAGGTTTGAAGCAATCCCAATGAAAATCCAGCAGGCAGATTTTTGGTAGAAATCAACAAGCTGATTTTAAAATTTATATGGAAAAACAAAGGAACTAGGATAGCCAAAGCAATTCTGAACCAAGAAAAACAAAGCTGGAGGCCTCAAAGTACCTAATTTCAAAAGATCTACTATAATGGTGCAATCATCCAGAGGTTATGTGGTACTGGAAAAAGAGTGAACACAAATCAATGGAACAGACTAGAGATTCCAGAAAAAAGACACACACAAATATAGACAACTAATTTTGACAACAATGCAAAGGTAATCCAATGTAGAAAGAATAATCTTTTCACCAAATAGTCTTGGTCATATATAGATAAAAGTAAAGTGATGGAGAAATGATGTACCATGCTAACACTAATCTAGGAAACAAGAGCTGCTCTATTAATTTCAGACAAAGAAGACTTCAGAGCAAGGAAAGAAGTCAGGACCGTTACATATGATAAACGGGCTAATTCAAGACAGAAGAGTCCATGATGTGTATGCACCTAACAAAAGAACCTTAAAATATGTGAGGCAAAAATTGACAAAACTGCAAGAAGAAAGAGATGAACCCACTATCACACTTGGAAACTTCAACAACTCTATCAGAAATCAACAGACCCAACAGCAGAAAATCAGCAAGAAAACAGCTGAACTCAACAGCACCATCAATTAACTGGATGTAATTAACATCTACTTCACACAGTAAAAGCCCAATACACACTCCTTTCAATCTCACTGGAATATTCACCATAATACATCATATTCTGGGCCATAAAGCACACCTTAACAAATTTAAAAAAACAGAAATCATATCATGTTTGCTTTCAGACCACAATGGAATTAAATTAGAAATCAGTAACAGAAAGATACCAGGAAAATCCCCAAACACTTGGAGATTAAACAACACACAATGAAATAGCACACAGGTCAAAGAAGAAATCTCAAAAGAAATTCAAAAATATTTTAAACTAAATGTAAGTGAAAATACGACTTTTCAAATATTTGTGGGATGCAATGAAAGCAGTGGTTAGATGGAAATTTATAGCATTGAAAGCACATATTAGAAAAGAAGAAAAATCTAAAATCAATAATCTAGGCATCTACCTTAGGAAACTGGGGTGAAAAAAGAGCAAATTAAATCCAGAGTAAGCAGAAAAGATAACAAAAACTAGAGAAGAAATCATCGAAATTGAAAACAAGAAATCAACAGAGAAAGATCACTACTGATTTTTGCATGTTGATTTTGTATCCTGCAACTTTACTGAGATCATTTATCAGCTCTAAGAGTTTTTGGTAGAATCTTCAGGTTTTTCTATAGATAGGATCATGTCATCTGCTAACAGGGACAGTTTGACTTTGTCTTTTCCAATCTGGATGCCCTTTATTTCTTTCTCTTGACTGATTGCTCTGGCTAGTACTTCCAGTACTATGTCAAATAGGAGTGGTGAAAGTGGACATCCTTGTCTTGTTCCTGTTCTCAAGGGAAAGGCTTTCAGCTTTTCCTCATTCAGGATATTGGATATGGGTTTGTCATACATGGCTTTTATTGTGTTGAGATACTTTCCTTTAATCATGAAGTTATATTGAATTTTGTCAAATGCTTTTTCTGCATCTATTGAGATAATCATATGGTTTTTGTCATTGATTTTCTTGATGTGGTGGATCACATTTATTGACTTGTGTATGCTGAACCATCCTTGCATCCCTGGGGTGAACCCCACTTAATCATACTGTATAATTTTTTATGTGTTGCTAGCATTTCGTGGAGGATTTTTGCATCTATGTTCATCAAAGATATTGTCCTGTAGTTTTCTTTTTTTGTTGTATCTTTGTCTGGTTTTGGTATCAGGGTGATGCTGGCCTCATAGAATGAGTTTGAGAGAATGGCCTGTGTTTCAGTCTTTTGGAATAGTTTGAAGAGAACTGGTATTAATTCCTCAATAAAGGTTTGGTAGAATTCAGCAATAGAGCCATCTGGTCCTGGGCTTTTCTTTGTTGGGAGACTGATGATTACTGCTTCCAACTAAAAAGCTTCTGCACAGCAAAAAAAGCAATTAACAGAGTGAAAAGACAACCTACAGAATGGGAGAAAATATTTGCAAACTATGCACTCAACAAAGGATTAATATCTAGAATATATAAGGAACTCAAACAATTTAACAGAAGAAAACCCAGTAACCCAATTAAAATACGGGCAAAGAAGCTGAACAGACATTTTTCAAAGGAAGACATACAAATGGCCAATGGGTCCCCCCAAAATGCTCACATCACTCAGCATCAGGGAAATGCAAATCAAAGCCATACTGAGATATCATCTCACTCCAGTTAGAGTGGTTATTTTCTAAAAGACAGAGAATAACAAATGCTGGTGAGGATGCAGAGAAAGGCAAACTCTTTGTGGGACTGTAAATTAGTGCAGCCATTATGGAAGACAATATGGAGGTTCCTCAAACAACTGTAGATAGAACAGCCACATGATCCAGCAATCCCACTGCCTGGTATATACCCAAGGGAATGGAAATCATCATGTCAAAGGGATGCCTACACTCCCATGTTTATTACAACTCTATTTACAATAGCTAAGATATGGAACCAACCTAAATGTCCACTGAAGGATGACTGGATAAGGAAAATGTGGTACATATACACAATGGAATATTATTCAGCCATTAAAAAGAATGAAATTCTGCCATTTGGAGCAACATGGATGAACTTGGAGAAAATTAAGTTAAATAAGCCAGGTACAGAAAGAGAAATACCAACTGTCCTCATTCATAAGTGGGAGCTAAAAAATATAAACAAAAAAAGAATGATACAACAATCACAATAATATGCTGAACTTTCAAAAGGAGAGAACAGGGCCGGCCCGGTGGCACACTGCTACAGTGCGCCACTTGGGAGCGCGGAGGCGCTCCCGCCGAGGGTTCGGATCCCACATACAGACCGGTTCCCGCTCACTGGCTGAGCGAGGTGCGGGTGCAACACCGAGGGTTGCGATCCCGTTGCTGGTCCGGTCCGGGCGCGACACTGAGGGTTGCGATCCGTTGCCGGACACGAAAAAAGACAAAAAGGGGGGAAAAAAAGGAGAGAACAGAACTGAGGTTACCAGAGATGGGAAAGGGGGAGGGGAGGAGAAATTGGTAGTGAGAAATTGGTAAAGGATAAAAAAAAAAAAAGAGATAACATTGTATAATGTTTAATATATTAACCATCCTGATTTGAACATCACATATTGCATACAGGTATTGATATTCACCGTGGTAACCCACAGATATGTACTATCAATTACATTTCAATAAGAAAAAAAAAGAAAAATCAACAAAACCAAAGCCTAGTTCTTTGAAAAGAGAAAAAAAATTGAAAAGAACAATAAAACTCTAGATAAGCCTCTAGCCAGGCTAAGAAAAAAAGTGAGAAGACACAAATTACTAATATCAGAAATGAAAGCGGGGACATCACTACAGATTTTGTGGACATTAAAAGGATAATAAAGGAATATTAAGAATAATTCTATGCCCACAAATTTAATAAGATAGATGAAATAGACCAATTCCTTGAAAGACACAATCTTTCAAAACCCTCACAAGAAGAAAGACTATATTAAAGAAATTGAAACAGTAGTTAATAACCTCCCAAACAGGAAAGCACCAGGCCTACATGAGTCCACTGGTGAATTCTATTAAACATTTAGGGAAGAAATTATACCAATTTCCTACAATCTAACTTATTCTACGGGGCTAGCATTACCCTAACACAAAAACCAGACGTACACTACAAGAAAACTAAATAAATACCTCTTGCGAACATAGATGAAAAGTCCTCAACAGGATATTAGCAAATTGAATAAAAAAATGTATAAAAAGAATTAAAACACATGACAAGTAGTATTTATTCCAGGTATGCAAGGCTCGTTCAACATTTAAAAATCAATTAATCTACCATAGGGCTAAAGAAGAAAGATCACATGATCATATCCATATGATTAGGTACAGAAAAAGCAGATAGAATCCAAGTGTCTGAGGACTCTGACAGAATAATATAATCAACAGGCTAAAGAAAAAAGATCGCATGATCATATCCATATGATCAGATGCAGAAAAAGCAGACAGAATCCAAAGTGTCTGAAGACTCTGAAATAAATAGTAGCAAGCAGTTTGGGGAAAGAACACAGAACTTGAAGTTCCACTGAAGTGGAAGTACGTTTACTATGTTTTTGCCTTGGGCATCACCAGGCTTGGACTCCAAGACAGCCCAAAACACAGAAGTATTCACTGGCTAAGGTCAGAAAAAGCTCCAAGAGAATCCCTTTCTTTCTTGTATAAGGAGCAGGAAAGAGGGCCCTTACGGGTCTGAGAGACAGGAAATCTCCCCTTTTTTTTCCTTTCCCCCATTTCTTCTGTCTCAGTTCCCAGGCAATTCCATCACAGTAGCAGCACAGAAATGGCAGTGGTGGCTGGGCATACATCTAAAACTTTAAGAGAACAGAGTCCTTTTCTCTGACACCAGGAATTGTGGTCCCAAGAGTGTGAGGCACATGCGTGTTGCTGCTGCTTTTTTTTCTCTGTCTGTCCTCTCATCACTTGGCCTAGATGAAGACAAAGTTGCAGGAAATGAATGGCAGAGTGGGAAAATGAAAGACCCTGTTTCTGGCCAAAGGACCAGGAAGAAAGGTCCTCTCCAGGACTTGGAAAGTATTGGTGAGATTGTGGTGATGAGGGAGAGCAAGAAAACAATTCCATACATAAAGTTGTGTATGAACAATCTGGCTCACCTCGGATCTATGCATGCATGGTTCTGACCTTAAACGGCATACCACCGGCTTTGAGAACAGAGCTGCAAGATATACAACCATTCTGATCCCAGAATGCACTGTGGGTCACACCTGTGGGACTGATCTAAACAGCACTGCAAATACTTAGAAAACTGAACTGACATTTGGGCACAGACTCCACCTTTTATATTTTGGAAAAAAGCTATGCCATCCTCTGCAAATAGCTATTATCCTTTTTTTGAAAAACAGCTTTTGGCTTACCACAGGGCCTCAGAATGAATGTTTGACCATGTTACCATGTGACCTGGACAGCCTACCATTCCCAGGTATAACCAAGTATTGTCAGACCAACACAGCAATACAGTTGAATGTACACTGTACCACTCCATCATCAAATAGAACCAGTATGCCCAGAAAAATTAGGCTTGAGCAGGTCCTGAATCATAAATAATTTGCATGAACAAGAGGCCTAGACGCCCATGGTTCCTACTTCTGCTATAATGCTTCTTCCTTCTCAATCTAGATATATGATATCATGGAGAATTCTCTAGGACTGTCTGACTAAGGGAAAAAATTCAGGCCTTGATTAATGATGGTTCTGCATGACATAGATGACAACAGCACTATATTCCCTCTCTGGGGTGGCCCTGAAGGACAGTCGTGAAGAGAAACTCCCCCAGTGGCACAAAGTTGAACAGAGCACCTGGTTGCTCATTTTCACTGCAAGGAGAGATGACAGAGGTACTGTTCTATACTGACTCATGGACAGTGTTTAATGGTCTGACTAGATATTCAGGGACTTGAAAGGAACAATTGGAAAACTGATGACAAGATCTGGGAATGAGGAATGTAGAGAGAGCTCTTTGAAAGAGGACAACATATTAAGCGATTGATGCCCCGTGTGAATGCTTGCCAAAGAGCAAACTCAGAAGAGAAGAAGCTGCTTAACCTGGTAGACAAAAAGATGTATTTTGGGGATGCAGCCAGTCTCTTTATACAGCTATTCTATCCTTGCCCAATGGGCTCATTAACAAAAGGATGGAGTCTGTGCATTAGCTCAGTAATATGAAATTCCGCTCGTCAACACTACTCTGACTATAGCCACAGCTGTGTCCAACCTACCAATAGTCCTTACATATACTGGGGAATAGATAGATAGATATTCCCAATATATGGTGCCATTTGTGGAATGATCAGCCACTTACCGCTCTGCTAATGTCTAGCCCCTCACGATTTCCCATTCCTTCTAAATAAATTAACTATGAATTTAAAATAAATTTTGTTTTATTACTTATCTACCACTTTCACATTTATAGTGTGAAGGTTTTCAAGTTGTCTTAGTCTGCCCCCTTGTGGGAACCAGCTCTTCAATCTTTCACTAGGAATAAAACATTAAATCCAACCTGCTCCTCAAACAAAACAACAAACGTATTTACACTATAATAATTTTATCCTAGGCTTTACGAATAGGTCCCTTCCTCATCTTTTGTTATCCAACTCTTTATGACCCTTCATTAAAATTTATAAAGTTTGGGAAGGAACAAGATGGCGACGGGTCTGGAGTGAGCGTGCCAGAGGACAGAGAGAGCCTGTGAAGTGTGCGCTGTGCTGCCAGAGTACTATTTGCATTTCCAAGAGCAACAAAAAACAAATAAATCACTGATCAACTAATCTACAACGAAAAAAACCAACTACAGTCTCGAGGTTTTAGGGCCGATGCAAAAGAAGATTCCGGAGAGCGCCCCAACCGTGCCGGGAGACCGAGCAGCCCAACGCAACAAAGGCCAGGAAAGACAGCAGCAGTGACGCAGAGACGGAGAGGAAGGTACGGGACCGGCCCAGCTCGGGGAGCTTAGTGAGTGACCCCCAACCCAGCCACGCTTGGGGGGCAAAGGCCCGCCCAGCCCCCGCTTACCACACGAGGCTAGGCGCCTTGATCAGCGCTGCCTCCATTTTCTCCGGGGGAGGTGGAGCCAGCCAGCTCAGATTGGGCAAGCCAGCCATCTTCGCTTGGTGCGGCTCCTCACTGAGCCGTGCCACTTGTGTGCCTCAGCGCGGGGCCCCCCGGGGCCTCTGGACCGGCCACTAATCCCACTCCACCCGCGGATCTCTGGTGGGGCTGGTGGCGTGGGGAGCCCCCGGACAGCGTCAAGAGGGTAGGGAAGAGGATCCCGGCCAGACTGTCACTCCACCACACCTGGGGCCTCGGCCCCAGGTAAACTCCCTGCTTACGAGAGGCAGATACCATCTCTGTGGCCTTCAATTCGGAAAAACCCCAGACTGATTTCTAGTTGGGAGAGGGGTGACCGGGGTGCCCCCGAGCCCACTTGATCCTGCCAGAGAGCTGACGGCCTGAGGGCGCCGAGCTGGCTCACGCCGGGGGATTCAAAGAGGAACTGTGTGCTGTGGGATCCTCCCCCGGGGAGCTCACGCCCTGGTGTGGGACATAACTCAACCACACAGGGGGCTGCAATACCGGGGGGAAGGTGGGAGGCCCAGAGAGGACCTTGACCAGGGCAGCAAGAACGCCCACAGGGTCCGTGGCGGAGGCCTGAGACCCCTTCGGGGCCAGGCGGGGCTGAGAGACGAGGATTGCAGAAGACACGCCCCAGCCCTGTACTGAGCGCACAGAGAGGGGAGGGGTCCGGCAAAGGAGGAGGAGTCTCGGAAAAAAAGACGCACCCTCCAGGAGGCCCCATTGTGTGCACACAGAGAGGGGAAACGCCTGGATAGCGAGGCGGAGACTTACAGATCACACACACCCTGTTGGGCCGGCAGGACAGGATCCAGTTGCAAGGGCCAGAACACAAGGATCAGGGAGAACTCGCAGAGCTGACTAGAGAAGAAACTTCTCGGTAAGGCCCAAGTCCCGAGGCAAACACACACATAGAACACTAAGGGCCATCTGATCAGTCACAGAGTAGGCAAACCAAATTGACAAACACAGCCAT